TAGAAGATATTATTCGGACAGCGTTTCCACTCGTTCCGTGCTTTTAATTGGACATTACGGGTGTTATACAGAGAATTCTCTCACACCTCCCAAATTGCCAGAGTTGGAAATTACCAACTTGTCCTCAAAGTACTTGACTATCATTTTTAAACGTTTGAAAGTTGAATTTCAAGAATTCAGAATTATTTTGACAAAACTAAAAGAGCATGCGGCTATATAAGTAACTCTCATCTCATTCCTGTCTCAATCTGATACTTTAGTCCATATCTATCGCTTAGCCAAATTAGAAAGTCTCCTTATTTGAGATTTTTCTCAATTACAAATGCAAACTTGTCAATCGTCTGTGCAACAAATTAATCACAGTTTACAAAAGCTCAGTCTACAACACATTTAATTAAGTCATGCATTGAGTTAATTTCTATCATGAGTCATATATATCAAATACCTAAACATGGTTTCTATAGTAGAAGATCACCAATCTGATATCAAGAGTCCAACAAGCAAACAAAATCATCATAGACAGTAACTAAATACCTTCAATAAGACTACTGGGGGCAAATTCACCTAACTCAACTCAATTTCAGGGATTGTGTATGTACCCTTAAAAAAACACAGAAAATGTAAGGCCACCTGATTTAGAAGTAAACAATGCTCCCAAACATTGATACAGTGCAATAGACAAATTCAGTGCCTTAGTAACTAGTGGTTCCAAGTTGGCACTGAAGAAAATTATGGTTGTCTAGTTTAATAGGAATCAAGGAAGACAAAGAAATTCATTCAGTAAAGGAGTTGAGTTCAACAAATTTGGATCCAAATTTAAAAAACATTAATACCATTTTATGATTCATGTGATTGGAAAGTAAGAAAATAAAACAACCTACACTGATAACAAGAGCATCTCTTGTTCCACATTCGCTTAGAATAGGCTCAGCTAACGACATTATACAAATTCATCGTCCAAATATAATTTGTTACTGAGTTGGATCTTTTCTCCTTACTGTTTTCTTACTTCAACTCAAGGACTTAAAAGATTTGATAGAAGTTATTGTGACATCTGAATTTAGCATGGATAATTGGCTGCTTGGAAGCATAGAGGAAATATCTAGTTTACAGTTATAAATTAAAATAGTTTACAGCTATAAATTAATTTATACAGTCTTTTTTAGAAAAACTTTTTGCATTTTTATTTTTAACTTATGTACAAATTATAACAATAGAAAATCATTATTTTTATAACTTTTTTTTTTAATATTTATCGAGAATCAGATGCAAACATTAAACATATCTATCCATTAAAGTCTATGCATAGTTCCGACATTGAATGATTAAAGCAATCCTTAATTCGTGAAAGTCCTGAGTTCACTTTTAATATTTATATTCTGATGGTGAGAATAACCACGTGGAAAAATGACATGCAAATTACCCTAGTATAGCAAGAACAAGCTTGGTTTTGCCCATAGAAAGATCAGGTAATTTAATAGAAAGTGGCCCACACTAACTGATATTGAAATAATTTAATGTATATAAGACACTGACAAACTTAACAGGTTGCCGAGCTAGGTAACAGTAGCTTTTGACCCTAATGGGGGCACTAATGTGAGGGAACAAGCATTATTGGACTAATGTGTAGTGCTATTGTAGATATAGATAATAGCTTAGATACTATTTGTTACAGAATTGCATTCATGGTGAAGATCCTTGTAAAAGGCTCTTCGCCGAGCAGGAGTGAAAAATGAAATTGTTTGGATCTAAGAAAAGTGAAAAGCTCCTTTCCACATTCTCACTTGACATTAAATGCAGTTGTTAAAAAGAGAATTGCATTACCATTATGTTAATGTCTTCCTTGACATTAACATAGCTTCTTATTATTAGAGTCCTAAATTTTAAGAATACAATATTAATTTATTTCCTCAGTATATATCCACCATTTTATTATTCCTTTCCCCATAATGTGTAACCAAACAATGTACACCTTTTTTATGATGATATCAAGTCATAACTTCCATAACATTTTGTTCTTCAATCCATAGCCAACAAGTGCCAATCTCAATGCTTGTTAGTTTTGTGGGAACACAGTATTTTCAACGTAAAACTTGGAATCATACGGCAAGATCAGTACTATACATCAAAACTTAATTTATAGAATATCAGCTTGACTACACAAGTCAAAAAAGTCAATGCATTCATAAAATATCTAATTGTCAATCTCCAGTCCAACGTTCTGTACATAGACATTTGATGATTCACTCATAACAAACCACCTAACAAAACAAATTACTAAGCATTGGTCAAACACTTCAGTTTTCATACTAAATCACGGTGGAGTTTCCTGCCTATGTTGTAATTCATCAAAAATAGACAATGAACAGTTCAACTCATTAATAATAAATATCAAGCAATTCACTATGATCATTCCTAGCTATCAATGGCCAAAACCTCAATATCACATATTCCTTGTTACATATTTTTAAATAAAGGGGATCTTACTGCTATATAAGTGACACTCATCTCATTTCGCTGTCTCAACTCGCATTGTGCATCTCATAATATAAATCAATTAACCGGCTTTAACAACTAAATCTTAAGTCCTTACCTATCCCTTAGCCAAGTAAGAAAGTCTATTTATTTAATATTTTTCTCAATTACAAATGCAAACTTTTAAATTATCTGTGCAACAAATTAATCACAGTTTATAAAAGTTCAGTCTACAACACATTTCATCAAGTCATGCAGTGAGTTAATTTCTATCACGAGTCATATATATACTAAATACCTAAACATGGTTTCTATAGTATAAGATCACCAATCTGATATCCAGAGTCCAACAAGCAAACAAAATCATCATTCATCATAATAGGAAGTGGCCCACATCCAACTGATATTGAAATATTTATCGTATATAAGACACTGATAAACTCCATAGGTTGCCGAGCTAGGTACGGTAGCTTGTTACCCTCCTGGGGGCATTAAGGTGATGGAACAAGTACTATTGGACTAGTAGGGTAGTGTATTGTAGACAGAAGAAGCAAACTTCTGCCTATAACTAATTCATCCGTGTATCATTGTAGTATCACAAGTTACAGAGTGCACTCAAGGTGAAGATCCTTGTGTGTGAGGGCTCTTCACCGAGAAGCAGGAATTGCCTGCTTCTGCTGCCTTACCAGAGCATCGTGCATGTCTGAAAAAAAAAACAAAAAAAAAAATACGGATACACATAAAAAAAAATGCGCATAACCGAGGGTCTTCAAATAGTGACTTGGACTATCACCCTTTTAGAATTGACTTTGGATTCTTTCAGGGCCCACATCGGCAGAATAGACTAAGGGAAGGTTTATAACGCATTGACTAACATGACCATTTGCCGAGGTAGGTAGTGTTAGCTTGTGACCCAGTGGGGGCATTAAAATAGTAGAACATGTTATTGGGACAGACCTTCCACTCATTGCTGTGCTATTAATTGGATATTTACCAACTTGTCCTCTTAGATAAGTACTTGACTATCACCTTTTAAAACTTTGAAAGTTGAATTTCAAGGAGTCAGAATTATTTTGACAAAACTAATCAAGCAATTCACTATCATCAACTCTAGCTATCAATGGCCAAAACCTCAATATCACAAGTTCCTTCAATATTCTAAAATAAATGTGATCTTATTCCTATATAAGTAACTCTCATCTCATTTCGCTGTCTCAATCTCATACTATAAATTAATTAACAAGCTTTGACAACTAAATCATTAATTAACAAGCTTTGACAACTAAATCTTAAGTCCAAATCGATCCCTTAGCCAAATAAGAAAATCTATTTATTTAATATTTTTCTCAATTATGCAAACTTTTAAATTATCTGTGCAACAAATTAATCACAGTTTATAAAAGCTCAGTCTACAACACATTTCATTAAGCCATGCAGTGACTTAATTTCTATCATGAGTCATATATATCAAATACCTAAACATGGTTTCAATAGTAGAAACCAATCTGATACCCAGAGTCCAACAAGCAAACAAAAGCATCATAGACAGTAACTAAACACCTTCAATAACACTATTGGGGGTAAATTCACCTAACTCAACTCAATTTCAACGGTTGGTATGTACCCTTAGAAAACACAGAAAATGAAAGCCCATCGTACTTAGGTTTTCTCATTGTTGAACTTCCTTGTACTGTAAGAAGTAAACAATGCTCCCAAACATTGATACAGTGCAATAGAGACAAATTCAGTGCCTTAGTAACTAGTGGTTCCTAGTTGGCACTGAAGAAAATTATGGTTGTCTAGTTTAATAGGAATCAAGGAAGATAAAGAAATTCATTCAGTAAAGGAGTTGAGTTCAACAAATTTTGATCCAAATTTAAAAAGCTTTGCTACCATTTTATGAATCATGTGATTGGAAAATGAGAAAATAAAACAAAGTACACTGATAACAAGAAGAGCAACCCGAGTATTTGATGCTTAGGGTATTTTCATAGTCGAGCTTAGAAGGCTAACTAACTCAACAATCATTAACAGAATATAAGGTAATTCATGTTGATAACATACTATAACACAAAATAATATCTACTTTGTATGATAATGGATGGATCTCATATGCTGCTAACTTATACTTTTGTCATTCAAGAATGATAATATTGACTTCCTTTTCATTTAAGAGACCACCATACTTTCATTTCATCCTTTTGAGGAAAATAAAAAGTATTAGGAAACAATTAAAATCCAAAATGAGTAAAATAAAGAATCAAATTGCAAATTCTCAAACAGATTGTATCCTTTGCAGTAAAAACTTTCACATAGTAAAGAAACAACGGTAAGTTCATGCTGACACTTATTAATTGTGCTTCTACATTCCATCTATTTTGTGTTTTATACAACACCAGTGCAGGGCAATTTAAATTTCCCTCGCTGGGTAAGAAAAACGTACAAAGTACATGAGATGTAGATCATTTACAACCTCTCATCAGTCACAATCTCTTACTTTATTTAAGTAAGAGTTACTTAACTATCTACTGCCTTGGTTTTAGCTTAAGAGCAGCACTGCAGGAATTCAAGAACAAAAATATAAATTCTTTGACAAATGTGAAATATGTAAGATTGAAAAGGAGAAACTGTTCAAGCGATTATTTATTTACCTGTTGATACAGTAACGTTTTCCTGTGGGGGGAGGACCATCGTCAAACACATGTCCAAGGTGCGCATCACAAACACTACAAAGAACCTCCTGGCGAGGCATGAAAATAATTGACAAATCCAACTTTGATTTCACATTGTTCCCTATAGTTTGGTAATAGGATGGCCACCCAGTTCTACTATTGAACTTAGTAGATGATCTATAAAAGGCAAGGTGAATTAGATCAAGATGATTAAGGTCAATTTAAGAAAAAGGCATTAGGATGTCTGTATGGATATAAAAGCACTTACTCAAATAAAGGTGTGTCACAACATATGCAATGGTAAATCCCTGCGGTTTTAGTATTCCAGTACTCCCTAAAATGAATTAAAAGAAAAAGTTGATATAAATAATAATGACACAAGAACAAAATTCTAGCTATACATTGGAGTACAATCTATCTTGCCGAGAGACAGAAAATATTAAAGCCATGGGCACAGTATTGCAAAACAATTTTCTAAATGCCTCTGAACAACTAAGCATGACTTGGGAGCATAGTGTCCTTAATTCCTAATAGTATTTTAATAACATACCCAGTGAAAGCTCTTTCAGTTCCCTTCTGACGAGTAATATAGAATTGCTCATTCGTGAGCCGCTTCTTCCACTCTTCATCGCTTAAGGATTTATAGTCAATAGTACCAGTTCCTGCAAGGGTCAGAAAGAGACTGATAGGCCAACGACAATTGTTATTAACACGTTTGTGATGTGTATTTCAACTTAGTGAAACATAGTGGTTATGATATATGAAAATATTAAACCTTAAGAAAACCATCATTCTTCAAAAGAACATGTACACCCCATCAAATTAAGCCTGATACGACTGAAGCAACCCTTAACCTAGCCTATAAATAGTTCTTTCTGTAACCTAACTATCAAATGGAAACACTAAATGTTAAGACTTAAGCACAAGAAGAGAGTCAAAGATTAATCATTAGTTTTGAGAACTCAACCTGGAACTCTTATCAGTGTCCCACAGTCCCTTGAATTCACATGTTCAACACAGCTTTCATTTAGTAATTTCAATAGAACAAAAAATACAAATGCAATCAACAAAAAAAAAAAGTGAGGAAAACCCACTTCACTATATAATCCAGACCTGCTTCATATTCTATGCTGTCCGCATGTTGTGACTGGGAAGAGGCAGATGAACCCATTGCCCGAATTGAGGAAGAAATTCTACTGGGTTTGGTATGAGCACGTGAAGGCCACAACAAAACCTTGGAATGAAGCTTCTGAATTAACCTATTACTAGTAATATGTGCCGTTGGAAAACTCAAACTTTGGGAAGCCATTTGTCACTAATTCATATCATCGCTTAACACTCTCCATAAACAAATAAATAAAAATGATGGGATGATGCCTCAATTTGATAACCCTTGATTTATTCGGTTGGAAAACAAGAGGAACAAGATTGATATTTGTGTGTGGTCGAGAACTGAGAACCATGTGTTGGCCACGTGGAGATTTAGATGCCGCAAAGGTTGGGACCATGTACACTATTGGTCTTCAATATCGAAGATGTTATATATATATATATATATATATATATATATATATATTATAATTGTTTTTTATTTTTAAACGCTTGCACATTATTCTCAACTTTTCTTCAAAATTTTATTTTTCCATTATTCATCTCGATAGAAAGTTAATTTTGATTTGTTTGAATTTTAAATTGTAGACCCATTTAAGTTGTCTCCATGAAATCTGATACATTCTACATTCCTTTAAAAAAATAAAAATGCATAAAAATCATTATGTTAAATATTATGTTATATTATTTATTTTAAAAGAATAATTGATATATTATATTTTAACTTTTGAAAATAAAATTTCACCTTTAAAAAATGTTGAATTATTCTATATTGAAATCCGAGCTATTTAAGATACATTACTCAAACAAAATGTTTTTAAAATGAAGAAATTTTAATTACATATAATCAGAATTTCATATATTTTAATCCAATTTTCTGGAATTACAAAAATTCATCACTTAAATAATATTAATTAAAAATTCTTTAAATTTCAAAACTTATCTTATTATTATTAATCACGCTTGATAAGTTGTTTAAATAAGAAATCGTTTATTTTCGGATGATAAAAATATCACCCATTGATGTTTTCAATCACTAAATATTATCTAATATTAAAATATATTCGTCCAAAAAAATTTAAATAATAAAATGATTGAATGTGAAGTTTGCAATAAATGAGGTAAGGTACTGCATAGAGAGGAAAATAATTTTGGTTAAGTAATGAACTTCTTCACTTCATAACTAGACGGTGAAAGAATTAGTAGTATACATAAAAACTTTCATAGACTATTACCAACTTTTTTATTTTGATGCGTAAATCCTTAAATATGAGTTTTAGAAACATTAAACAAAAATGTTAATTGAATGAACATTAAATACAATACTAAATATGAAATATAATAATTTAAAATAAAGTAAAATTAAAAAATCCAAAATTTATCGCACTTGTACCTTAAAATTATCCTAATATTGTATTTCAACAATATATTTTATAATTTGAGGAAATTCACATACATTATATTCAAATTTCTTTTTTTCAAATAATTTATTGAATAATGTTTGTACAAAACAATTCAAGTTTATTAAAAATTAATTTTCTTGATGGATGAAAATAGTTAAATTACTATCAAATATAAAATTTTATTACTATATTGTAAATTAAGTCTATTGCATATTATTTTACTTTTATCACATGGATAAGAGTGAATTATGATAGACTAGTTCGAGTAAAGTGAGATCGGGATAGACCATATTGATAAAGTTGGATATGATGAAGACAAATTGTATTAGATAAGAAGACGACCTAATAAGTTGAGATGAGTATGATCATATTAAGTTGTATTAAGATGAGTTAGACTAGATCAAGATAAATCAAACTCATATCAAATCTAAGTTGAATCCAAATGAATCAAGCAAATTTATAAGTAAATAAGATATACCAAGATTTGATAAATTAGGTAAAAATAAGATAAGATGTATTGAATTAAGAAGGATTAAATTAAGATGAATGTTGTTAGATCAAGATGAGTCAAATTATGATAAGTTGGGTTGAGGTGTGTTATGTATATTTTGGTCAGTTAGAATTAGATTAAGACAGGTAAGGTCAAAATAGACTAAATTGATATAGGTTGGATCAGAATAATACAAGATAGACAAAATTGAGAGTAATTAGATCGAGATAATTTAATGATAATCAAATCAAGTAAAGACGAATCGAGCTTAGGTTAAATCATATTTATTTAAGTCGTCATCTTGAAGATGAATAAAAAATATTCTAATTAAGATTTAGTAAAAAAAAGACATATATTAAAATAAATAAAAATTTTCAAATTCCTACATTTTAGTCAAAATCATCTTAAAGAATAACTAAACACCTTCAATAAGACTATGGGGCACCGAATAAAATTATAGTTGTCTAGTGTTTAATAGGAATGAGGGAAGACAAAGAAATTGGAGTTGAGTTTTTGGATCCAAATTAAAAAATCTTTGATACCGTTCTATGATTCATGTGATTGGAAAGTGAGAAAATAAAACAAAGTTCAGTGATAACAAGAAGAGCAAACCGAGTATTTGAGACATTGGGTATTTTCATAGTCCAGGTTAGTAGGCTAACTAACTTAACCATCATTAACAGAATATAAGGTAGTCTATGTTGATAACATACTATAACACGAAATAATATCTACTTTGTATCGTAATGGTATGGATCACCTATGTGTAAAATATGATGTAGTTTTCCTACGTTCTTCATTTATTATGGAAAAACTACTCTACAGGATCTTTAGATTATTGATTTTCACAACATAACATACATGAATCATAATAAGAGAACTAACATTGATCCATGAAAATATATTCTTTAATCTTCTTGTTCTCCAATCTCTTTTTCGCAATCTATCTCTTTGTCTTTCTTTCTCTTCTCACGCTTTCTTGATGGTTTACCGTGAAAAAACCTTATGACCAGAGACAAAACCCTTATTCTATTTTATTAACCAACGTCCATCAAGTTGGTTAGCGTAAACTAATATTTTATTTTATCTTTATTTTATTCTAACTTCATATAATAACCAATAGGTCCTCATATTTTATTAAATCACATTTAGGCCCATCATTATATTTCACATGAGTCGCATAATGGAATGAATTAATTAATTAAATTAATTCTAACATTCTCCCACTTGACTCATGTGATGTCATACGATTATGTGATTTAATACTTAAGTCATAATGCGCACTAAAGGACCTTACATAAATTGGTTCTATCATTATTCATAATTAAAGATATAGCTATAACAAGAGTCATGGAGGTTACATGTCATTCAATCGACAGACTCCCTTCCATGTACCACTATATTATCTCTTTCTCCTTAATATGACTTTATAATGAGAAGTCCATAATGGGTTCAAATATAATATTATTTTAATAATAATAACATAATTTGTTTTCTTCATCATAATTTGCATGCATATAAATAAAGAAGAAAACACAAATTTCAGAAACTTATATATTAAAGATCTCAGAGTGTCACATAAGCATTAATAATAACATTAACATTCAACATTCACTAGTGAACATAATGCCCACATTCATTATATGGTTAGCAAATAATTTGGGCGATAATCCCTTTGTTAAAGGATCAACAATCATAAGATCAGTGCTAGTATGTTCTATTGACACTTTACGTTTCTGAACTTCTTCTTTAACGACAAAGTATTTCAATTCCATATGCTTAGCACCTTTGGAATACTTGTCGTTCTTAGAAAAGAAGACTGTTGCGGAATTGTCACAATAAATTTTCAACGGCTTGGCAATGCTATCGACTACTCCAAGTCCTGAAATAAAATTCCGCAACCAATTAGCTTGAACTGTGGCCTCAAAGCATGCCACAATTTCAGCTTCCATGGTGGATGCAGCAATGACAGACTGCTTCGCAATTTTCCATGAAATCGCTCCTCCAGTTAAAAGATACACATAACCAAATGTAGACTTTCGTGTATCCATACAACCAATAAAATTTGAATCTGTATATTCAATCACCTTAAGGTGGTCAACTTTCTTATAAGTAAGCATGTGATTCTTTGTTCCTTGTAAGTATCTTAAAACTTTCTTTGCAGCCTTCTAATGATCCAGTCCAGGATTACTCTAGTATCTACCCAGCATATCAACTGCAAAGCTAATATCTGGCCTTGTACATGTTTGAGCATACATCAAAATGCCAACAACAAATGCATAAGGGATATTTTCCATCTGTTTCCGTTCCAAGTCATTCTTTGGACATTGCATGAGACTAAATTTGTCTCATTTCTATATTGGAACGGAAGATGCTGAACACTTCTCCATTCTGAATCTCTCTAAAATTTTATTAATATATGCTTTCTGAGACAAACTTAACAGTCCTTGTGATCTATCACGGAATATTTCTATTCCTATCACATAGTATGTCTCACCCATATCTTTCATTTCAAAGTTGTTAGAGAGAAACTTCTTAGTCTCACTTAATAGACCAAGATCATTAGTCGCAAGCAAGATATCATCAACATACAGAATCAGAAATATAAACTTGCTCCCACTGACTTTCAGATATATACACCGATCAACAGTGTTTTCCTTAAATCCAAAGGACATAATAGTATCATTGAACTTAAGATATCATTGTCGAGAAGCTTGTTTAAGTCCATATATTGATTTCTTAAGTTTACACACCATATGTTCATTTCCTTCTTCAATAAACCCCACTGGTTGACTTCATATAAACATCCTCCTCTAAATCTCCATTCAGAAAAACAGTTTCAACATCCATTTGATGCAACTCAAGATCATAATGAGCTACTAATGCCATGATAATTCTAAAAGAATCTTTCTTAAAAACAGGTGAAAATGTTTCCTTATAATCAATACCATCTTTCTGAGTAAAACCTTTGACAACATGACGGGCCTTGTAACGTTCGATATTGCCATGAGAGTCACGCTTAGTCTTAAAGACCCATTTACACCCAACACTCTTGCATCCTTATGGAAATTTCACAAGATCCCATACACCATTATGTGTCATTGATTTAAGTTCATCTTTCATAGCATCTAACCATTTGTCAGAATTATCACCATTAATAGCGTCTGAAAATGAAACTGGGTCATTATCAATACTTAGGTCATTTTCTGACTCTTGTAGATAAACCACGTAATCATTCGAAATAGCATATTTTCTTTCTCTGTGAGACCTTCTTAATACTATTTCTTGTGGTTGTTCTATTATCGG